ATGGTATTTTGAGAGTGCTTGTCTGATAATGGATTGCGCAGGACCGAGGCCGATTTGGCCATCAATATCCGCAAGGCCACCAGTATCGGTAAGTCGTTAATCGGGGATGGGCCCAATGCGGGACAGTGGGCATGATGAGCTGACAATTTGACAACCAACAGAGGAAACCGCTCCCAAACGTATGTCCTGATCATATTTCATTCACTTCCATCGAACCGATTGATGCCGCTTCGGCTTTGCCCCGTCCGAATCGAACTGACCACCCCCGCGCCTGTAGGGAAACATGTGCGGAGCTGCATCGTCTATACGTGGGACCACAAGTCATCTGCGGCCTTCTGGGCTGGCATGAAAGTGTACGTTCTGGGATATTCGGCAGGAATGGAAAGGGGTTGTTGTTATCGAGATGACTGACACGGCTTCGTTCTTTACAGGCAGCCCGTCCTCGCCGACGAGGTCCAGACGTTCAAGGCCCTGATCACGATACACAAGGTTCTCCAGGAGGGCCATCCCATGGTTGTCCGCGAGGCGCAGCAGCATTCCAACTGGATTGATAGCCTGATGCGAGGAGTTGGAGGCGACGGCGTTCGAGGTATGGATTTCACAGGGGACGACTGCGCAATTGCTCTCTGCTCGAGGAGTGGCGACGCATGCGACGGACGGTATAATGACAGTTCTGGATAGGATATGCACCGCTCATTCGCGAATACGTCTTCTTCCTCGAGGCGAAACTGAACTTCCACCGCAACCATCCCGAATTCAACGGTATGTCGTCCATGTTTGACCAATTCTGTGATTCCCGGGTGTCTGACAATCGAAGGCTTGTTTGAGTATGAGGAGTACATCAGTTTGAAGTCAATCAATGATCCGAACGAAGGGTGCGTACATTACTAGTCTTTGCAACAATGGATAGAGGTGTTGACAGCCAGCCAGCTATGAGACCATCACCGATTTGATGGCTCTGCAAGATCAAATCGATTCCTTCCAAAAGCTCATCTTCTCGAACTTCCAGTCCGGCACGAACAATGAATGTCGGATCTCGGCATTGGTGCCACTTGTGCAGGAGAGCTACGGCATCTACAAGTTCATCACCAGCATGCTCCGAGCCATGCACACAAGTATGTTATCCCTGGTCCTTGAATTTGCCTTCAGTAGCCGTTGACTGATGTTTCCTGTAGCGACTGGAGAGGACGAAGCTCTGGAGCCACTCCGAGGCCGATATGATGCCCAACACCACCGTCTTGTTCGGTTCTACTATGAGTGCTCCAACCTGCGCTACCTGACAGGTCTCATCACCATCCCGAAGCTGCCACAAGATCCGCCAAGTTTGCTTGCCGAAGATGACGATCGCCCAGCTCTTCCCAGACGGCCGGCGAAAGAAGTGGAACACCAGCCCTCGCCGCCACCGAAGGTCGCTGCTGAACCAGAGCCGATCAATGATTTCTGGACAAATGAAGCTAAGCGCCAGCAAGAAGAGTACGAGGCAGAGCAGCAACGCTTGCAGCAGCAGTGGGAGGACCAGCAACGCCAGCAAGTCCTCGCCCAACAGCAAGCCCAGAATGATTTCGAGGAGCAGCAGCGTCTGCAGGCGGAACAGCAGCGATTGGCCCAGGAGCAGCTTCTTCGCGACCAGTACCAGACACACACCCAAGGTCGGCTCGCAGAGCTGGAGCAGGAGAACCTTAATGCCCGTGCACAGTATGAGCGTGACCAGCTGATGCTGCAGCAGTATGACCGCCGTGTGAAAGAGGTCGAGGAGCAGATGAACCACCTGAACTCGAACCTGAACTTGCAGAATGCCTCGAAGGACGATCAAATACGATCACTGCAAGAGCAGGTGAACACTTGGCGATCCAAGTACGAAGCATTGGCCAAGCTGTACTCACAGCTTCGACAAGAGCACCTCGATCTTCTGCAGACCACAAAGAGCCTCAAGCTTAAGGCAGCTTCCGCACAAGAAGCAATTGATCGACGAGAGAAGCTGGAGCGCGAGTTGAAGACCAAGAACTTGGAGCTGGCTGACATGATTCGGGAACGTGACCGTGCTCTGCATGACCGGGACCGTCTGACGGGAACGAACAAAGATGACTTGGAGAAGGTCAAGCGTGAGCTTCGCATGGCTCTTGAGCGTGCTGAGAACGCAGAACGCTCAAAGGGCACCGAGATCTCGTCCTTACTGTCTAAGTATAACCGCGAGATGGCTGACCTGGAAGAGTCCCTTCGAGTAAGTAGCTGTTCATTTTGCTTAGGTGTGTGATCCATGCTGATTTTATAGATTAAAACACGCGCATTGGACGAACATTCTAGTCGCAACAATGACCGCCAGGAAGACCTCGACCTATCTCTTCGTGAGAAGGACGAGGAGATTGAGGTGTACAAGTCTGGTATGGAACAAGCTCTTATGGAACTGGAGGAGCTGAGACTGGTAAGTGGTGATCTTGACAACATTCGGTGCCTGCATACTGACCATGTTCCCCTATAGAGCCAAGGCGATGTCGACCACGCGCTGGACAGCCAGATTGACACTGTGCTCCACGGCGCAGTCGCGAAGATTAACGATATTATCGACTCCGTGTTGCAGACTGGTGTGCAGCGTGTCGACGATGCTCTGTATGAACTGGACTCGTCCATGCAGGCTGGTAACCAAAATGCCTCTCCTCCATATGTGCTTTCGCAGATTGAAAAAGCGTCTGCTTCTGCGACCGAGTTCTCGACAGCTTTCAACAATTTTATTGCCGATGGCCCCAACAGTCCCCATGCTGAGATTATCCGCACAGTGTCCATCTTCTCTGGATCTGTCTCGGATGTGTTGAGCAACACCAAGGGTCTCATCCGCTTCGCTAACGACGACAAGAGCTCCGATCACCTGGTTAATGCTGCTCGCAAGTCTGCTCAGGCGACCGTGCGGTTCTTCCGCGGCTTGCAGTCGTTCCGTCTGGAAGGGCTGGAACCACTACAGAAGACTGATGTCGTCATTAACAACAATCTCGAAGTCCAGCGTGATCTGCAGTCGCTGTCGAAGCTGGTTGACTCGTTTGCCCCCAAGAATACCAAGATCAGCACTAGTGGTGATTTGGGTGACCTTGTCGACCAGGAATTGCTTAAGGCCGCCGACGCTATTGACGCAGCTGCCCAGCGCCTGGCTAAGCTCAAGAACAAGCCTCGTGACGGGTTCTCGACCTACGAGCTGCGCATCAACGATGTCATCCTTGCCGCCGCCATTGCCGTCACTAACGCAATCTCGGAGCTGATCAAGGCCGCCACAGAGACTCAGCAGGAGATTGTCCGCGAAGGCCGTGGTAGCTCGTCTCGCACTGCCTTCTATAAGAAGAACAATCGCTGGACGGAAGGCTTGATCTCTGCTGCTAAAGCAGTGGCCTCTTCGACTAACACATTGATCGAAACTGCCGATGGTGTAATCTCGGGTCGCAACTCACCAGAACAACTCATCGTCGCCTCAAACGATGTTGCAGCTAGCACTGCTCAGCTTGTCGCAGCCAGTCGTGTTAAGGCAACATTCATGAGCAAGACCCAGGACCGCCTGGAGACCGCAAGCAAGGCTGTTGGTGCTGCTTGCCGTGCCCTCGTGCGACAGGTGCAGGACATCATCAAGGAGAAGAACCGCGACGGCGACGACGGAGAGGATTATGGAAAGTTGAGCTCGCATGAGTTCAAGGTTCGCGAGATGGAGCAGCAGGTATGTGACGGCCCTTCCCCCTTGTATCTTATTCATCCAATACTGATGTCTCCTCCCAACAGGTCGAAATCCTTCAACTCGAGAACGGTCTCGCTCGCGCACGCCAGCGCCTGGGCGAAATGCGCAAGATCTCCTACCAGGAAGATTAGGGAAGTCTACGCAATTGTATTTCGTTCTTCGCTGTCTGTGTATATTCCGCATCCAATTTCGAGGAGTTTCATTTCGTCCGTGTCGCAGTTTGCATTATTCGGCCCTTCTCCCCAAACCCCGTAGTTAGTGTCTTATTTTGATTTCCCATAGCGAATGAAAAGCAACTTACCCAGTTCTCTAAACCATCGTACTGCATAGATCCACTCCACTGCATATGTGTCCACGTTTCGACTCCAGTAGGCAACCCTTCAAAGCGCATGGTCGCACAGTCGAATGGTTGGACGGTCGGATATGCACGTCTCGCCTTCTCCATGCCCCCTCGACGCTGCATGCCAAGCCTTCCAAAGTTCCAAGTCTCCCCGACCGGTGGAGCCATGGTAGTGCATGCCGATCTGCGGGTGGAGCTGACTAGCGGCTGTCAGCAAAGACTATCGAGACGTCACCTCATGCACGAAGACAAAGCGCCGAGTGTCGGGATGTCGCTGTGTAGCTCGAGGCTTCGAGCGCAAACATGGAAACCTAAGGAAACTTCAAATTATTGGGATCGTCCGAAATCTAATCCGGAAAGCATGGAATTTGAAGGAATAATTGGTTGTCGAGGTATTGTACTGAATAATCATAATGCAAAAAGATGCACCCATGTCCTCAAGATTCGTTTCTACATCTCCATTTACAATTCTAAATGCTACAATATAGGAAGTAGGTTGTGCAAAATCAATTGAATTGCAAATTTAAAGTACATAAAAAGCTCAAATGGTAGGAAAAGAGGCGGCGGGTAAACCCCGTGGGAAAGAAAGCCAGCTACCTCAGCTCCTAAGAACTTGCCATGAGCGAAAACAGAAAAATTGAAAACCCGAAACAACGCAGTGAGGAAAAACCAGCTAATAATACAGGAGAATTGTGCGCAAGTCAAAAGCAAATAAAGCAAAGCACATATTTTTTCGAAGTTTTTGTTTTCAAGTTTTTTTTTTTTTTTAGAGTTGCAGGCGGGAAGCGAAGGGTGGATCTTGTTGGATATAATCCTCGTATCTTCGTGAATGATCATGATCGGCCAGCGAAAGGAGACAGACAAGGTAATGAAATTGTTGATCATGCGTTGTTGGTGATGGTCATGTCATGTATCGCTGAACCGAATCGAGATTGAGAAGGAGTCTCATTAGAAGATGGTGGGTGTGAGGATACCCGATTTGTTGATGTTGGATCCGAATGGCATAGGAATGTAGTCCAGGGACGCAAAATTGTTGCCCGAAGCCAGTTCATTGCTGATTTCCATACGATCACCATAGCTGTAAGGAGCTGGGAGTGGCTCAACACCGTTCGGACCGAAGAGAAGACCATTGTTGCTGAGATCAGACAAGTAATTGTCGTCAATTGGGATCAGATGTTCATCAAAGTCCTCATCGAAATCAATAGCAGCAGTGCATGGGTACTGGTAATCATTGTCGGAAGTTGTGTAGCTGGTACGGATGCGAGGAATACGGCGTCTGCGCTCCGAAGGGCGACGAGGGGCATACTGATAATCGGGGTGCTTGATAGCATGTTCCTTCTTCAGATCATCAGCGAGGCGGGTGAACTGCTGTCGAACCTCGGGAGTCTCGTTGTTCCAGCGCGCACCAAGAATACGAGCTGACCCATTCATTAGCTAGAAACCAAACAAGCACAGTTGAATATAACTCACAAATTTCGTTGTTGGAAACACCAGGGTTGGCATTCTTGACCAGATGGTGGTTTGCCTGGCGGTACAAGATAAAGCAGTTGGGAGGGCGAGGAACTTTGGTAGGGCGAGCAGGAATTTTCACAGAGTCTCCAGCATTGTGGATCGACTTGCTGAGCAAAAGGTGCTCATCAAGCTCAATGCCATGTTGATCAGGCCCCAAATCTCCAGCATGCTCCGTGTTCAGTTCCTTGGGGAACATGCGGTAGGCATCCATGGATTCATCCAGAACAATCTGAACCTTCTTGTTGAGAATAGCTCTGTTGTAGCTTGTTAATAAAATGGTCCAGGTAGGTCTAGGGTGGAAACTTACGCCAGACGAATTCCCATGTCCTTCAGGTGATTGATGTCAAGCATCTCATCGATAACGTTGCGAGGCAGAAAGACTTCACCGTCTGTCTGAGGAAGGTGGTTGACGGCATCTGCCCAAAGAAGCTCCATGGTGCGACGAGGAGACATGTCGTCACCATCAGCAACGAACTCCAAGAGGGAAGTCCGCATCATGAAACGTGGTGAGTGAACTTGCAAGACAGAAGATTCGGGTGTGGGGTGAAAGAAAAAGAGAAAGGGGTGGAGAGAGGAGAGAGAAGAAAAAGAAGAAGAGTAAACAAGGTGGGAGGTATATAAAGGAAAGGAACTGGGGTTTCGAAATAAGGTGGGTGATTTCTTTGTTTCCCGGCAACGCCAATCATAGAGGCAGGTGGGAGACATGTATTTCTTTGTTTGCGCGGCAACACCAATCACACGGTCTCATCCCAGAAGAGACTTCTTTGTTGGGAATAGTACTACTAGAACAAAGAAAGTCAATTATGGAGGGGTAAGTCTACAGGGAAAAGTTACTCTGGCATCAAGTACCATTTCGACAACCAGGTCCTACAATATTGTATACCTGGATCTATCGACTGGTTTTCCTAGACTTTGGCCATTCGGGTCATAACTACATGATTCTTTATATAGGTAACTATTACTATGTGATAACTCATGAACGTATGATTTCGATCTGTGCTAGATCTGTGCTATGGATAGATGTACATACAATGTGAGTGGATCTTCCGCACGTGGCACTGCAGATCCGAGGGCTAGCGCCCGCCGCCACACATAACCTTAAAACATATCAAAGATTATACAAAAATACCTACATAGCTTCTAACTAGTGAGCGTCTTTCTAATTGTATGGAGAATCTCAGTTGTGTGAAATAACGATGAAAGCTATGTACACAGTGGGATGAAGCCTAAGATTCATTTTTGTCCACCAGAGTGTCGAAAGGGTACCTACCCAAGATGTATCTCCAAATCTTCAAACCGCATAGCAACGAAAAGGTAAACAAAGAAATCAAACGAGCACCTTACTAGTACATAAAGGGAAATCAAACAAAGAAATCAGTCAATTAATTAATTAATTATAGAAACCAACCCAAAAAAAAGAGACAACCCAAAAGCAGGCATCCAATCAAACATCGATTAATAAATAAAAAGAGACAAAGACAAATAAACAATAAGAACAATAAGAACAAAGAAGCTGGCAGCCAATCCGAAAATGGAGCCAATGGTGAAATGGCAAACGGCCAACATCAAGTGCTTCAGACTCAAAGCAGCCAAGGTGTCTGGACCTAGAAATCTTTAGTAAACCTTCAGGCTATTGATTGTCTGCTACATGCTGCTATTTGGGTATATGATACTCTCTCAAATGGCATTCCCAAGTGTCTTGCTCGTTGGCAGACGTATTTTGTTGAAACAAGAGACCTCGGGAAGCACTATATATAGTAATGTAACACATATACATACGTCTAATCTTGGGAAGCAGCATATGGTTTCTAGGGCTCTCAGTATCCAACCAACCCCGCTGACTCTATAATAATGAACGCATGATTGATTACCAGCCATAGAAATTGAAAATTGATACCCAGCTGTGGAATATTCAGCAAATTTTTTGACTATCGAGGGATATTCCCTTCCTAGGACATGTATCTTATTGATCCTGCGTTGTAACCGGTGAGTTCCAGTCACTAGCCCATATGAATGTGGGACACCGCCATTGGGTACCCCTTTCCTTTTCTCCGCTGGGTCCCAATGGCCGGGGACAAATCCAAAACGATCGGCCGCGATTCATTCCGGGTTTCTTCGTGGTCAAGCTGATACACGGCTCTTGATGTCCATCGCAAGGTGGGACGGGTTTCTTGGTAAAAAGCTTGGACCAATCCTCCTTGCTGACAATGGGGTCAATTATTGTGTCATCAATGAACTTGCTGGCCGTCGGCCATTCGGTAGAAATGTCAGCGTCCTTTCTTATGGTGCCTTCTTGGGGCCCTGAAGGCTGCGGATTGACTGCTGGAGCTTTCCCTTTCTCTTGTGTAAATTCTGATGGTTCGTGGTTGAGTCGTGGTGTCGGGGATGCCGGTAAAGCGACGGGTGACCGGATAGCTTCATATACATTGGTAGCTTTTGGCTTGAAGAAGCCCATCAATGACTTTTGGCCTGCCGCAGAGCCCCCGGAAGACGTCGATACAGCGGACTTGAAGCGTTTCGCGAATGTGGTTTGTAGAGGCTGGGAGCGTTTGCGAGAAACAGTCTGAGGGTGCTGGTTTCTCTCAGTGGTAGGTGCAGAACCCTTTTTGGCTGAGTTGGTGGACCCGAAGGCCGTGTCCATGACTGTAGATCTCGTGACTTGAGCTGTGGGCATGTTAGCCAGTGTAGCGGTTATTTCTACCGAATCCGACGGGATGCTGGTTGGTTTGCGAGCGAACATGTCCTTGATGCTTCTGCGCTTATCAACGTCGAATTCGGGGAGCAAACGTCCCGAAGCCGGCAATGCACGCTCGTTTGAGTATTCCTGTTGGCGCTTGCCACAGTTAAACATTCCCGGTGGGTTGAGAATATCCCGAATGTTTACGTCGCCTCCGGGTTGATCTACAGACTCTTTGATGACAGCATATACAGGACAGTGGTCTGACCCCTATAGAACAGTCAATTAATGATTCACAACACAAAGGAGCGAAGTCCATACCAGTAATCCCTCCTGAATATTTGAGTCGGAGAACCAGTTCTGCATATCCAAGCTGCACAACACATAGTCAATCCTTGAGCCGTAATTCCCTGGTCGAGCATTGAGTTTTTGATCCCAGCATGTATACATGCCTGGACGATCTGGATGGAATGACCTGCAGACATCAAAGAGGACCGGATTTTCCCTGCCTTTATCGCGTTCGCCGATAACCACGCCATCCGATACCAAGTGGTTGAATAGACGCCGAGAAGGGCTAGATACAAATTCCTCCTGTGTCATTGTGCCTTTTCGTATGGCCTCAACTCCATGAGCGGCATCAATGTCCTGTTTCGAGATATTTATGTCCCCAGTCACGACCACCTTCTTCCCCATCGCAGTCAGGTTGCGGATTCGAGAATCTAGGGCATTGAGAAAGTCCATGCGGAAATTATCACGACTCTCATCCCGATGGGCAGGGCAATAGACACCAATAAGTACAAATGCAGGAAACTCTAGAATGACGCAGCGCCCTTCGGAGTCGAGGGTTAGTGCATCTGTTCTGGCATCGAGTACCGAGTTCATATCCTGCTCCTCTTCCAAGTCAGGCTCTTCAGGATTCATAGCAGGCCTGGAAAGCTGATCGGATGTTGGATATCCGCCAATCTGTTGCTCTTCTGGAAGACTGCGGAAAGGTGTTGAGGATTTCGGTGGGCAGAGAACTCCAGTAATGCCCTCTTCTGCCCTTATTGGAGAACATGAGGCATTGCGCGTGTAAATCACAACACCCGAGTATCCTAAAGGCTGTTAGTGTCTGTATAGATAGCTATAGAGCAGTAGCTTGCCTTTTTTTATTAGAGGGAGACTAAAATAGCAGTCCCATCCTGGAACCAAGACCATGTCATCACGGAGGTCTTTGCGCTGGATCTTGGTTTCTTGGAGAACTACAATATCCGCCTCCAGTGTATCAAACATGGACTTTGGCCAAATAAGCTCGGCACACTCAAGAAATGGAAGGATAAACACTCACCTCAAATGTGCGCGTTCCTCTCCATGGCTCATAGGAGAACGGATTTCTGTTTGCTATATTAGTGTTGAACGAGTCCAACTGGCAGGTTTTCTCATACCGTATACCATTGACTATAAAGTGATGCGTCGTTGGTATATATTTACCACTTCAATTGCCACCAACAACTCAGATAAAACTTACCATTCCATGTGGTGATGCGAACCCCCATGTTGGACGTTATTACAGGGGTCAATGCAGCATTTTTCGCAACAGAAATGTTCAAAAGAGGTCGGGATACAAATAGAAAGATTCGAGTCAACCAAGGACGAGAACTCCCTAGTTGTTGACTAGGTCACGCCGTCACGGGTGCTGGAGAGCGTGCATCCCGACGTCCATACTATCCTAAAGCAGCCACGTGACTAGGATGGGCTTTGTTTTTGCCTGATATATTAGGCACCATGACATCAGGTTACATAATCCGGGAGATCACGGGGATGCGCTAAAGACGGCTTTGGACCTCATCGCACCACTTTTGACCTCCACCACCAAAAGAACTCCTTTAGCATCACCCACCATGTTCCCTCAACGCAATTTTGGTCGCCTATCCCAGCGTGCTTCGCAGCAGATGCGTTCCGCTCCGGTCCGCTCCACTGTCCAGCGGCGTTTCAACAGCGCCGAGGCCAAGCCTTCTTGGATCGTCGACAACGAGTTCAACCGCGAGAGAGCTGCCGTCAAGCACCATGCTGCCTCTACCAGTGGTATGTACCATCATAACTGAACCTAATTGATTATGCCGCATGATCGTTGCCCGTATACAATATCTGTTACTGACCCTATGATTGTACAGACCTCTGGCGCAAGCTGTCCATCTTGTACGTCCCCAATCCAGATCAATCCTTGATTTGACGCCCTCGCCAATAGAGAAATCTAATCGCTTCACAGTGCCGTAATCCCCTGCCTGATTGGTGGCGGTATCAACGCTTACAACCTCTGGTCCGAGCACTGGGAGCACTGGGAGCACATGCCCCCGCTTGAGGAGCGCACCGAGTACCCTTACCAGAACATTCGCACGAAGAACTTCCCTTGGGGAGACGGTGATAAGGTATGTGAACCCCCTTATGCTATATTCTGAAGACTTAAGCTAATCTATGTCTGGTATAGACCATTTTGTGAGTTCCGACTTCCCCGACCCCATCACATCCTACGGATTGTTTTGCAGAACAGTCAGCTTTGGCAATCTCAAATCTGTTTCCAATTGGACTGCATGATCTTCTCTCTCTTTGCCATGTCACCCCCTGAAAATCAGAACTAACTCATCATCTATAGCTGGAACTCCGATGTCAACTACCACAACAAGGACAAGGCTACCTAAATTAGGTCACTTGCAATCTTCCCACATACTCGAGAATCCCCTTCGAATCCCGCCAGGAAACTATTGAGTGCGTGTCAGGGCTGGCTTTTCCATGTACATATACCACACTGTTGTTCTAGGCTTGAAACACAGTCAAATGC